AGAGAGATTGCCGTCGACAGAGTTATCACGATGACTCAGACACCACCATACTCGTGACAACTGGTGAAATTACAGTACACCATTACGATGTTCACAAGGATTTACAAAACAATACACTCCCCCAACCTACAGTGTGGCATGCAGTTAGCGCATGAGCATTTATAGAGCTCGAGGCGACTTTCAACCACAGACAGCCCTTTGCTATCGTCCATGACCAACAAACTCGAAAACTGTCTTCCTATTTGTCCCCAAAATGAGTACAACCTCTAATTACATGCTACAAGATACTCTTCCCAGAAACAACAACATGACTATAACCGACTTGCTCCCATACATCTGTGTGATTTATTAAATATGTCTATTTATTGTTTAATTTTTCTCACCTTCAATAACAGCCTATTTTGGGGAAATCCTGAGCATTGTGTAGAAGTAAAGGAGTTACTGTCTTTTCATTATTTGTTCCTTTTTTTTTTTGTATTGTAGATATAAAGGAAAAAAAGTGGTAACGGCGAGAACACATGTGTAATTCAAGGTTCAATGTGCTTATCTCTAGTACTTTGGAGGGCGACGCATAAACAGATGGCCGAAAATAGAATGATTCAGAGCCACGTCTGCAAGAATGTAAGATTTGTTAGTTTGTAAATTTTTAAACCAACTAACATTTGAGTTACACATAAGAATTTGATTCTCCCAGATGTTAAATTGTTGTATTGATAAAGCAATAGTGGAGGCATCAGGTTTGTATCTATTTTCTCGCTGGGACTCGACACTATCTTGTTGTTCGTCATGAAGACAATACATAAATTATCCTAAGCTTTATCTAGCACTAACCGATTAAGTATGTGGACATTTGAATTGTCAGGCTTCAGTTTGTTTTGACCGTTGGATATTCTTGGCTCTAGACACTCTTGGAACGATCTGACTTCTCTCGATACAACTAGTATTTGTCTTTGTGGGTGACTGAGTGACCGTTGGACTTTTTTGGCCGTGGTGGATTCATTCTCCAATGGACATAATACAATACTTACAACACAATTCATTATTTCCTCTGCTCCTTGCTTGTCAGGTGAGCTAGATGGCAACACACACTCAGAGGACACAGAGACCGTGGGCTGTAACTCTCAGAGTGTAATACTTATAGAACATGTTTGTACCAAAGACTATAACATTTCAAATGATCCGAAAACACAAAACTCAGAACATTTATCAATGACATATTGTTGTCTTAATAGAAATTAGTTAATTTAAATAATTAATCAACTTCCTGAAAAAACACAAAATAAAATCTTTTACTATGAGTAAATCAGAAGTGGCTGTTTGTTCAAAATCTAATAAGAGTAATTTTACCTGG